CTACCAACACTGGGAGTCATAGCAGATCTACCTAATACTTAGAAACAAACACAAACAGGCAGCGAAAACTATAAGGAAGGGAAACTAAGAAAACAATCCCACTAATAATTTCATCAGAAGAAAAATACCTAGGAATAAATTTAACCAAGGAGGTAAAAGACCTTATTCAGAAAGTTGTAAGACACTAAAGAAGACAGAAATAAATAGAAAAATATACCATGTTCATTGATAGGAAGAATTAACATCATTAAAATGCCCATACTACCCAAATCAATCTATACATTCAAATGCAATTCCTATAAAGATATCAATGGCAAATTTCACAGAACTAGAACAAATGTTTCAATAATTTACATGTAACCACAAAAGACGCTCAACAGCCATAGCAATCTTGAGAAAAAAAGAACATAGTTGGACAAATCATACTACCTCATGTCAAATTATACAACAATGCCATAGTAATCAAAACAGCATGATGCTGGCAGCATGATCAATAGAACAGAATAGATAGCCCAGAAATAAACCCTCACCTAGAGAGTCAATTAATATTTGACCAAGGAGGCAAGAACATACAATGAGGTAAATACAGTCTATTCAATGAGTGGTGTTAAGAAAATCAGACAAATATGTGCAAAAATGTGAATTTAGACTACCTACTTACAACATACAGAAGAATAAACTCAAAATGGATTAGAGACTTTAAGACTTGATAGCATAAAAATTCTAGAAGAACATACAGGCAGTAAAATCTCTTAGCTGTAATTTTTTTCCTGATCTATGTCCTCTGGCAAAGGAAACACAAGAAAAATAAACAAGTAGGACTACATCATCCTAAAAAGTTTTTGCACAACAAAAGAAACCATCAACAAAATGGAAAGACAACCCACTGCCTGAAAGAACGTATGTGCCAATGATACATCTGAGAAGTGGTTAATATCCAAAATTTATAAAGAACTCAAAAAAGTCAACACCAAATAACAAACAATCCAATTAAAATATAGGCAAAGGACATAAACAGACACCTCTCCAAAGAGAATACAGATTGCCAACAGACACACGAAAATATGCTCAATGCCACTAATCACTGGGGAGATGCAAATTAAAACCACAGGACATATCACCTCACACCTGTCAGAAGAGTTATTATCAACAAAAAACAGTATTGGCAAAGATGTGGAGAAAAGGGGACCCTTGTGCACTGTTGGTGGTAATACAGACTGGTGCAGCCACTGTGGAAAACCACATGGAGTTTCCTCAAAAAATTAAAATTGAACTGTCGTACGACCCAGCAATTCCACTTCTGGGAATATAACCAAAGGAACTCAAAACACTAATTCAAAAGAATATATGCATCCCTATGTTTATTGCAGCATTATTTACAATAGCCGAGATTTGGATGCAGCCCAAGTGCCCATCAGGATACAAGTGGATAAAAAATGCTGTGGTGCACTGACATGATGGAATACCACTTGGCTATAAAAAAGAAGTCTTAACTTTTGGGACAACATGGATGGACCTGGAAAGTATTATGCTTAGTGAAATAAGCCAGTCCAAGAAAGAAAGATAGCATATGATTTCAATTACATGTGGAATCTAGTGAACAAAATAAACTAACAAAAGTAGAAACAGACTCACAGATACAGAGACTGACAGCTGTTAGAGAAGAGAGGGTTTAGGGAGATGGGTGAAAAAGGTAGAGAAATTAAGGAAAAAAAAATTCTGGTAGACACAGACAACACTATGATGATTACTAGAGGAAAAAGGGTTAGTGGGTGGTAGAAGAGAGTAAAGGGATAAATGGTAAGGAAAGGAAACTTGACTTTGGGTGGTGAACACACAATACAATATACAAGTAACGTATTAGATAACTGTATACCAGAAACCTATGTAATTATATTAAGTAATGTCATCCCAATAAATTCAAAAAAATTAAAAAATAACATAAAATTTAAAAATTAGGAACAAGAAAGTGGGCATAAAATAGAAAAATACCAGAAAACAATGTAGCCAATGTTAAAAATCCCTGGGTTACTAGTGAGATTAGCCCCAAGTGTCAGTCAAAAGTAATGTGCTACACAATTTACATAATTCTTAACTGCAATGCAAGAAAAATGTCTTGCCTAGCCCATACCAAGATTCTAAATACTAAGTTAAACAACAGAGATCAAATAAAATTACCTGTAAACTCTAAGGTATTTAATTATAACCCACTGATAGTTAATATTTCCCTCCAAATTCAGATGAGACCTACACAATTATACATCTATTCTAGCCATATTAAGCTCAGGCAGTTGGTGTATCATTATCATCATTTAAAGATAAGAAAATGAAGTATTAAAGAGGTAAAATAACTGATCCAAAGTCCCATAACTAATAAATATAGAGAGTTCTGTTACAAGCCAAGTCTAACTCCAAAGCTGATGCTTTTCACCATTATGTTACTAAGTTCTTACCACCTCTGTGCAGGTCAACAGATTTAAAGAGGTGTTCATAAAAAGAAGCAATTCCACTGACACTATATATTGTGCATTGCCCAACATTAGACAGCCTCATTCCCTGGATCCTTAACAGGAAAAAAAAAAAAAAATCACATCTTTTCCAATGTCCCTTTTTCCTTAAAGAATGTTAAAATTTAAAAAACCTTCTTGGTCCACATTCTTTTTCATATGTGCTTAATTTAGTAATTTGAGAGTTAGATCAAAGTCTAGGATAGCTGCAAAAAGAAAGACAAAATCAATTAATATTAAATTACAGAATTATGTGAGAATTTTCAAAGAGTTGATTCAAACTACCTATTATGGGCCCTAACATGAAAAAGCTGCTTTGACTGCTGTCAAGTGTCATCAGAGTAATTTAAGGAAAAAAGGTAAATGCTAATAAGAAGGTACATTATATTCATATAATCATCCGAAATTCAAAGAGAAGTTGTTAGCTTATAGAGTGTTACATTTTAGGGTTAGACAGACATATCTGAGCAGTTGTCCAAGTAACTTATGAGGTAATCACTGAAGTTCAGTTACACTCACAATGGCTAAAAGCAAATATAAAAACCATTCAAGAATGACCACAAATACCGTCTTTATTCTCTATGGTACAAGAGACCAATTGCAAGCCCATCTGTGTGAGACTTAGTTAATAAAAGCATTATTTGAGAGGGACACAAAGAGAAGGATGGATTGCTGAGAGGAAAAAGTCATTTATTAGAATGTGACAAGCTTTTAAATATTTGCACTATCATTGACTAACTGCCTGGTTCTCTGGTTCGCACACCTGCTGCTTCCATCCGAAATTATCACAGCAGCAAACTTGAAAGTAGGCTCATGTTTAAGACACTCACACCCTCTTCTGACCCTTTTCAAGTACTGCATGCATACCAGTTACTGAAGGGAAAAACTAATAAAGCCATAAATTAATAATTCTGAAGGTAATATTTTCCAGATAATTTAAATTTGAAATTACCTAAATAAACCTAAATTTAGCTTAATAAAAATATGAAAGAGCATATCTTTCTTTTCATTATGCTAATGGAAAGAAAACCAACTATGTTCTCTTAACATTTTAAAAGTTTATCTATTACCTGATTTTATTACAAAAGAATTCATGGACATGGATAACAGTGTGATGATTGCTGGGGGGAGCAGAATATAAGGGGACTAAATGGTAATGAGGAAAAAAATACAATAAAGATTAAATTTTTAAAAATTACCATGATGACAGCTGACTAACTGTGTGTGTCAGCTCCTGTGTGTGAACAAACTAGTTTAATCCTAACAACAACCTTATGAAGTAGGCACTCATCTTAAATATGTAAAGTGAGGCACAATGAAGTTAAAAATAACATACCCAAAATCGTGCACCTACCTGGGTAGTAAGTGGTAAAGCTAAAGTTCAAACTCAGTAACTGTGACTCTTACTAACTGTGAGTCTTACTTATACCCAAAATATTCCTCTGAGGTGGAATGGAATTGATACAATAAAATAAAACATGATTAAAGTAGAAAAGAATTTTAAGTTGTAAGGAAAATTATAAGTAAGCCATCCAAATCTCTCGTTTTCGACAAAATACCAAAAGGAACAAGAACATTATGTGAAATAGTCTTGGTCGTTTTCACATTCGTCTTCACTTGAAAATTCTGATCTTCTGGGCGTCTATGATGTTTTTATGCATTCTTTTTACTCCCCATTTCTTTTTTCCTGCAAACTATGCCCTTACTTATCTAGATCTGGTTCATCAAAGGAAAAAACTAATCCATACTGTATGCTTTATTTTTCTTCTGTAAAGCAGAACTACTTAACTATTCCTACCTCAGTGAAATACTGAGATCTTTTAAAAATATGTACATTAAGACAGTAAATCCAAATAGCATCATCAATTCCTCCTCGTTGCTAATTAATATATTTTTATCTGTCAGGAAATACTTAAGAGTATTCCTACTTGAAATCAGGGCTGACAGACTAGGTAATCTAAAATTTCTAAAAATCCTAACTTTATTTTCAAATAGAATATGAAGGTATATTGTCCAATGATTGCAGTTCAAAACAAGCTCTATCTAGAACATTTCTAGATTCCACAGTTTGCCTATTTAAAGCTATTTATAATATCAAAAATTCCGAACACTTAATTACCAAAACATCAGGTAAAGAAGCTCACTGTCATTCATGACCAGAAAGTTTACCATGGGTAAAGAACAAAAGCTTCATTTAAATTTCTTTTTCACAACTATATTTTCATTTCATAATGTTAATTTAAAGTGTACTTAGAAGAACAGACTTAATGAAAATCCAAAATATTAAAAACATATAAACTGCACCAGTGTTAATTTGTTAGATCCAAAAACAAGATCGTTATATTTTACTACAGTAACAGATCACATTGCTAAAGAATTAATCGTAAGATTATTCTTATCTCCCAAATTTAAGCATACCGAAAACAGCCCAGGTAACACAAAGGAAAAGATGCCAAGGAACCAACTCCTTGCAAATCCCAGAAGTATTTTTACCTCGGTCTGCAGGATGGCAGCCCTTTGTTCCTTAGCAGTCAGGGACTCCTTCAGCACTTCAATGTGTTGCTTACTGTCTGAAAACTGGTTCGTAAGAGTTTCTAGCTTTGTCTGTAGAGCTAGTAGTTCTGTGTCCTTTCTGGAGAGCTCCTGTTTCACCTGACCAATCTACAGAAGAAAACAAACTCTGTAAGGAAAAAAGAAATGAAACAACCACCTCTGATCTGGATCTCTGAGAGACCTAAGTCACAAGATATGAAACTAAAAGCAGCATTAATTAATCTGTTTGCATCATCCAATTTTAGATAACCGCCCCCCACCAAAAAAAAAGCTTATTTGATTAATAAGGAAATTTCTAGTTTTTATTTATTGTATCTCCTACACATTTTTCAAAATCCCTTAGAAAAAGAACGGAAAGAGAAAAATCCCAATTCAATTAGATGACTATGAGAAAGCAGTAGACATATGAACAACACTGTTCTGATAAAACAGTTTTTCATTTTGTGAAGTCAAACATCTTCAGAACATAAAGCAGGATTAGTGTAGACATAATTCAGAAGGAAAAAAGAAAGCTCCTAGTATTGCTATCTAAATTTAAATTCAAAACCTGACGCTGATGTATTTTTATTTTTTCATTAATTTTTTTCTCAGTCTCAAACAAAAGTTTACATAAAATTCTTATCACAAAAGCTACTTTGTATAAGGCAGCATAAATATGTGCTTTTTAAAAATCCTATAATTTTGATGAGGTAGGACTTTCGACCTATAAAAAAGATTCCACTTACAAAGTTATATCATTTACCACATGCCATTCTAACTAAATGAAGATGACCTAAATAGAGACTGCATAAATCTCATTCTGTAAGAATCTACACATGTAATTTGACAGAGTAATCCATAAGTCAGTAGGTGCATTCATTCTATAAATTTCTCAACTTAGAAAAAATTTATTTCTAACATCTCCTTTACATTTATGTGTTTCTAAGATTTTTAAAGTAGTCTTTTATTCTAAATGTAAGTTGAATTCACAGAGATCAGATTTGCACTTTCATTATGTCTACTACCTAGCAACGTTAACTGCACTGAAAGTTAGATTTATTATTTAAAGTATAAATATGACAACAGGCCAGTAATTTTAGTATCACTGATGAAACAAAAAGTATTTTTTATTTTTTTAAATTGAATGTATATAAAGTACTTTATTGTAATAACCTTATGTATAATGGACAAGCTTTCCAGACCTATTTTCCATGAGGAAATATAAATTTCAATTAAAACTAGAGTTTTTAAAAACCCTACAAATAAATCTCTAATTTCCTCTTCTGTTTCAGCAAGAAGACAAGCATTTTTCTCATATGTATGAAATCTCCATTTACAGAAATAGTTATTCGATCAACGAATATCTGTTTACTTATTGCATGCCAAGCAGTTGAGGACACTAAGTACATCAGTGAAAGGTAATGGTAAATGGCAACTATTTTCATTCTCTTATATAGATATGTAGCAGGAGTTACCACATCCTCTAATGGTATAGTATCTCTCATGACATTCCTTTATTAACAAATATCAAACATTAATATTATCCTAACCCTAACATACACAATGCACCAAAAATGCACTTGCATGAATGAATATTCAGGAGGAATGTTCAAAGTATTATCACTTCCTCAGCTAAACAACTATGTATGGCTTAAAGATTACTCAAATTTCTAATCATGTGATCAAAAATAAATTTAAAATCTCAGTTTCCACCCTGGGCAGTGTGGCTCAGTTGGTTGGAGCATCGTCTTGTACACCGAAAGGTCATGGATTCAATTCCTGTCAGGGAACATGCCCAGTGACAGTTCAGTTCCCAGTCGGGAATGTACGGGGCAACACACTGATCTCTATGTCTATGTCTATGTCTCTATGTCTCTATGTCTCTCTCTCTCTCTCTCTCTCTCTCTCTCTCTCATCAAAAAAACAAATCTCAGTTTCCTATCATCTACATTATTAATCTTCTAATAATGTTACACTAACCATAAAAACTGAGAAAATATTCTAAATGGAAAGCAGAGTTTAGAAGCACAAATTCTGCTTAAAAGTTAAGAATACCAGGCTTTGCAGTCACTTAACGCATGTGGATGAGTGTTTCTTTTACTAGTTATTTTACCTCTCTAAGCCTTGGCTAGGATCCTAATCAGTAATATGGAGAGAGTAAACCAGTGCCACTGTGTTGCTCAGAGATTAAATAAAATAACGTATGGAATGTGTTCAGCCTGTTGTTTGACTAAAAAAAAAATGAAGTTAATTAATAGTAGCTGAGAATAAAAAAGTGAAGTTATGGATTAACTTCTCCTCTAGACTATACATGGTTACCACAAACCAAATTAGACCCTTTCAGACAAAACATTTCCCTTCTCTATCTATACTATAAAGTGGTCCATCAATAGCAAACACACCAAATTAGCAAAAGGTATTTTTTAATGCTGCATTCCAGTCTTATCCCACAATTATTTTAAAAAGTGCAGTTTTTTCTGACACTTGTATGTCAAATGTGTACACAGCCTAGGCAGGAGAGTGAAGAGCTTAGAAGCACAGGTTCTGGAACCAGATTACTTACATAAAAATCAAACTCTGCCTCTTACTAGCTGTGTTTCCTAAGCACCACTCTATTACCTCAGTTTCGTCATCTATAACTTGGGGTGGATAATACATCTATGTTAGTAGGTTATATAATCTTATAATAAGTGCTCAAGGGTTACCTATTTTATTATTATATTTTGTAATGAATTTTAAGTTCCTTAGAAAAAAGAATGAACTAGATTTAGAGACTTTTAATAAGTTTCATGCTTATTCTAATTTACCAGATAACTCTAAACAAGCTAATCACTTTCTACACATCTGTTCTAAAGGAAGTAACATTTGTTGCAAAATCACCAAATGGGGTCCTAAAGATGATGTCTACACATGAAGATAAAGCACTTTACTCCAAAATTTCAAATTCAAATGAGTACTAGGTGATGGACCTGGAACATCTGCCTACACCTAAGAAGAAAAAGAGACTACCATTCTCATAAACCAACAAGTCTCTAGTAACAGGAAAGAAGTTGAGAAAAAATAAGCTTTGAAGTACCATCCATACAGTGAACACAGCAACAATAAAGAACCAGGTATAGGGCTTTCCGAACACAGGAGGGCTCACTGCACACAAGGGACATATGGTTCAAACTGCTAAAGAGGAGTTGGTTAAAGAGCAGAGCAGCCTGGTTAGTGCCAGTACTGGGCAAAGCTGCCAGCCATAGAAAATGAAAGTATAAGCCACCCAGAAGCCAGAGCTAGCAGGGTCCCACTGTGGGATCACTGCACACAAAAGGGTAAATCTTACGGCAAAGACCTCAGCCTGAAGACCAGCTGCTTTCTTTTTCAGCTCCTCCCCTTGAGCCTCTTTCGAACTTAGTTCCTCCTTCAGTTGCTCTACCTGTCACGACATTGTTATTCTTTTTTACTTATGTGTCAATTTAGATCTCATTATCTGCTTTTGAGTCAGAGCAGTAACTGGAAATAACAACAACATATAACACAATCAAATCTGTTACCCTAATTCCCTCTTCAAAGGACCCTGTATGGCTTCTCTATTTTTGCAATGTTTTTAAAATGAACATTCCAATGTTCTAATCAGCAAATGGGAAGCAGAGCTTATACTTTAATACATTTTGTTCTCAAATAGGGCTAAAACTCCAAACTAACAGTAAGTTTGATATGTGAATTTTTAAGTTTCAAGTTTATATGAATTGGCAGAAATCACTGACAACAGCTTCTTAAAATAATAGAGAAATATTCTGCAGATTTATATGCCAGGTATGAGTAACATAGTAAGAAGCCAGAAACTGGAGTTGGAGTTATAATTGTATCATTCATTCCCTTAATTTTCACTTCTGAGAAATCAGGGAGCTAATACAATTGGTATATGGCAGGGGGAAGGGAGATACTCATTTTCTAGCTAATATTTTATAATTACAATTACAATTTTTAATTAAGCCACAAAAACCTGATAAATTAGTAACTGTAATAATTAAATCCTCCAATTTGCCAAAAATGGCTTTAGATATAAAGAAAGAATATTGTGACTGAACTTATAAGTACAGACTGACATGTCTCAGTGACACCTATCTTACTTTACATATACCTCAAGCACACGAGGGAAACAATAAACTTGATACAAATGGATCTTCTCCAAGAGACAGAGCAAAGGGCTTTCCTTTATGGAATTGTATTTGAAGAAAAAACATGATTTTATTTAAGCCATTTCTGGGGAAAAAGGGGGGCAGTTGGTGGGAGGGAGCTGGGTCCACCCTCTGAGGGTTTTGACTTTCAAAATGCTTTCCAAAGGTAAAGAACTCAGCCCTGGCTGGGTAGCTCAGATGGTTAGAGCATCACCCCCGTAACATGAAGGTTGCAGGTTTGACCCCCAATCAGGGCACATACAAAAATCAACCAATGAGTGCATAAATAAGTGGAACAATAAATCAGTGTTTGTTTTCCTCTCTTTTTTCCTCTAAAATTAATAAATAATTAAAAAGAAAAGAGGTAGAGAACTAGATGTCTCACTTGAAAGAATTATTTTAGAAGTATTCTTCCCTGAAGTCTGATAAAACAGTGTGAAGTTCTCCATCATCTCTAAGGATGTAGACAGAAATAAGAATCAATTTTTCAAATGCTGTTTTAAAACTGCAGTATCACACACCATTACCTTATTTTTCATAAATTTGGAATGACTCCGATAGACCTCCATTTGCTTCATTTCTTCCTCCCGTTCTTCAGTACTCAAAGCCCCATTCGATTTCAGCATCTGAATTTCCTCCTCCAAGTCTCGGAGCCCACGTTCCATAGAGGAAATTTTTGAATCCTAAAGTTAATGTAAGATTTAGATATTAAAGTATTCTCAAAATATCAGAGAAGTTAAACAACCCAGTCTTAAAGATGTTAAATTTAATAAAAGTAAATGTGCAGGAAAACTGCTGTCTAGTAACTGATGCCTTCGTTCTAAACTATATCCTTTATGGTAATTTGTGTGAAAAGAGAAGGACCCATATCTATGGTATGATTTTTTCCTCTATCTCTTCCTCCCATCTGCACCCTTTCAATTAAAGTTGAGAGAATTAACTAAAGAAGTAAAAGCAATAGAAAACTGGTTAAAGTTTTCCTGTCCTTTATGGTCAACAAATATCTAGTAACAATTTTTGTAACATTAACAGTAAAATCTTTTCTAGATATATCTTATCATTTTATTTGTGACTCCATAAAGGTTTATTTCTGCCCACAAAGAAAGGGGGAGAGGAAGAAGTGTTAGAGGGTTTCAAAGATTTATACAATGTGTATAATTATATTTATGATAATTAAGATTTTATAACATCCCACTGCAGAAAAACAAAGGAATAAATAATCACATTAACAGTTACAGTTTATTGTAATAATTTTTTTTAAAAATCACTGTCCTTGTAAGTCACGACCACCATAAATATATAGTAGTAGAACATCTTTCCATATTCAATTTCTTGGTTTTGTTTGTCACAATATCCAGTAATTATTTTAGATGCCATTAATAACAGGAAGATTATTTTAGATGTTGTCAATTACAGAAAAATTCCTACATAGAATAGCTATATTTATAGCAATAGTTGCATATGCTTGTTCACCTAAAAAATAAAGACCTTAAAGGTAATCAATTAAGTATAGTTTTATTTTATTTGGAATTTAGAGAAGCCATTCCTTTAGAATGGTAATTTTGAGAATGACTTCCTGTTGCACTTTAGCTCAAGGACTGCTGGGTTGATTTTCCTTGCTATCATAATTCTTAGAGCATCCAGATTAAGGATTTATATCATGAAACAACTACAACTAGCTATTTTCAGATTCAAGGAATAAAGGAAGAGCATGTACTCCTCTGTCCTGCATTACTTTACCTTTAAAAATATCACAATAAATACTTTCTTTTACAATCTATTCGAACTAAACTTATATTTAGTTCAAAATTAAATCTATTAATCAGTACAATCACAGACATTCTCAACCTAAGCCGGAAATTTTTTTAATTATTGATATTCATTTCTAATCTTTTTTTTAATTGTTCAAATACATTCGTCTCCATTTTCCCACCACCACTTTCCCCTGACCCACCCACCCCCACCTCCCTCCCTCAATCCTTCCCCACTTTAAGCCAGGATTTTTATTTGCTCATTTAAAATTACTGGCCTCAGACAACTACTTCAATCGTGCTATCTGAAAATTCACTTTTGAAATGACTATAAATCTTCCTGGAGGTATCAGGATGTAGTCCCTAGAGAATGACTAAAATACTAGGCATATGTACGTGATTAACCCACAAATGAAAAAGGGTGAAATACAGTTCACCTCTGACATTAGCCTGGGTGTCAATGAAAGGGGGCCCGTGGAACAAACAAATGTATTTCTAGTACCACAGGTGCTCCATACAAGGCAAAAATAGCCTTTAGCTAAGAACTCCAGCTCTGCATATCATAGGCAGATTCTACCTCTACAACGTCCCTACAAGGAGCTTGCCAAGATATCCATTATCTCCCCTAACACCAACACAGATAGAGTGGCAGCTCTTGACCAAATCAGCACCCCCACTACCAAGGCATGTACCATAAAAGCTTCTCCCCCGCAAAAAAAACCTGCCAGGCTATTCTCTGAAATCAGGCCAGAAAATGAATGCCTGATATGCTCAACTAGTTCCAGCCCCAACTCACCAGTACTCAGGCTGGCTTTACTGGGGACAGGCCTTTCGATTCCCTGGCCCTGGTTCTTCCATCATTAATCAACCAATCTCACTAAATATACTGAAACCCTGTTCCTTATTATATTTCCAATTCCTCAACTCTTTTTTCAAAAGTTGTCTCCCTATTCCAAGTAATACATGGCCTTCCCAAAAGATATACTGTCCCCAAACTCTTTCTGGTGAAGGTCCCTTATCCCCCGGTACCACAAAGGAACAAGGGAAAAGTGTAGGCATCCTGGTTCCTTGATGCTGTTCCCCTTTAAAGCTCCTTTTTACTCTCCCTTCCTCACTGCTGCCGTCAAGGGACTGCCTCGTCACTTCTGCCCATTTTAAGAAGCCTTTGCCGCCAGACCTTGGCGCCAACCTTCTCTACAAATGCCTCCTGCCACCATGTTAGGGTTTCCTTGTCTGAATTCTTTGATGTCCTTAATCCCAATGACCTCATCCTCCAGTCCACTTTAGCTATCTAGTTTATAAGACTCCGGATCCTTTTGTTACCCAGGACTCTCTTCCCAGGCCTGTCACACTGTGACTCTCATTATCGGCTTTTCTTCGACCTCACAGAGATCTCCACTTCCCTAACTTTTCTATTTCTCGAGCCCATCATTTTAAATTCTCTTCCTTCCTACCCAGGCTACATTCCTGTGCTGATCATCCAAACAGCTCCTTCACCATCACTCAGTTTATTTGCATCCCAATACTTCTGCTATACCTAGCCAGTAAAACTCTAACCCTAGAGACATAGAGTAATTCTCTTTTGCTCCTCCACTGCTAAAGGAAAAAGAAAATAATAGAGAAAAAAGAGATGATGAAGCATGAGAGGGAAGAAGAGTAGAGAGGGAAAAGATGAAAGGAGAGAAGAAGCTGGGAGAAGGGAAGAGGAAGGGGGTAAGAGGAAGAAGAAAAAAGGGAGGGACGAAGGAGAAGGAAGAAAATTACATCACCTCAAAGATGATTTCTGGGCTCTTTTATTGTGTATCAATTATCTTTCTTTCCCATTTCCCTTGACGACTACTCTAGATCTTCAGAATTCTCTCAAGCTCATGCCACAATCTCAGCAACTTAACTACTTCACTTGTAGTTTCAGCAAAACATCCACCTGAACCAACTGTGCCATGAGAATCTCAAAATTTCTTGCTTCTTAGCAGAATGGCTAAAGGTTAACAGAACTTAAAATAGACCCACTACCAATTAATACCATTAAATTTCCTCATTTTTTCAAAAGATGAGTAAAATAATTCTGTGACTGTAGGTAATGATTCCAGACTGTGTTTTAGTCTTAGGTTTTAATAGGGATCTGGAATTAATATGTATAAATAAACCTGTGGGAAATGTGAACATTGAATTAAACCTTTCTAAAGGTTCTTTTCAAGACTACTGATTGTCTAACTACAAAGAATCCAGAACCTACTAATTTGGAACTCTTATCAACAAATTTTAAATGAAGGCCCACAATGCAAAACACAGTGTCAGATTTTTTAAGGGATATGAAGGAGAGAGAGAGAGACAGAGAAAAAGAGAGAGAAGGAGAGAGAGGTGTCCCTATTGGTAAGAATTTTTTAGCTTTCTTAAGAAAGAACATGTTAATAAAAATAATAATAGCAAAGCAGCAGCTTTCACTGATTGAATGTTTACCATGTGCCAGGTCCTCTCCAAAGTGTTTTACTCTTTTAACTGATTAAACCTCAAAACATCCTATGGGATGGGGTACTATTATTATCACCATTTCTTGATAAAGAAATTGAGGTGGAGAAAGCTTAGGTAACTTCTTCTGTGTCATTCAGTTGATCAAATAAAGCCAGATTCTGAATCTAAGGAATTTAACTCAGAAGGCAAGCTCTTCATCACCAGTTGCCATACTATATAACCTAAAAATTCTAACCACTCATTAACTGAAAGCAGAGGTTTTCAAGGTATGGCCATGGAACCCTGAGGGTATCCCCCAGATCTTTTCAATAAGTCTGCATAATCAAACTATTTTCTTAATAATATTGGATTGGTTTTTTCCATTAAATCTGTATTTAGTCTGTATGGTTTCTTCCATTAAATAAAATACACATTTTTCATTTTCACCAGTAACTTCACTGATTTGGATATACTGAGTATGTAGGCTACCTCCCACAAGGCATAACATTGACCGTTCTCAATTAATGTCTCAATTTGATCGCTATCAACTTCAACTGGTCTACCCAACCACGGGGCATTGTCCAACAAGAAAGAAACTTCTCAAACCACTTTTGACACGTTCAATTAGTCAAAGCACCTTCTCCATACACTGTACAAGTCTTTTTTTGTGTTACAGTTGCATTTTTACCTTTTGAAATTATAAAGCATAATATGCTGAAAATCTCGCTTATTTCCATCTTCAATATTAAAATGGCTATACAAAAATTCACCAATTTTGATAAGTTTTGTTTTTAGTGCATACTGATATGACAGCTGTCACGGTACAATCTAACAAAATTGTTTCTAATGAAGTTAAAGACAACTAAGCACTACTAGAGTCATCTTACAGAAAAAAGGAAAAACACAAACTTTTTGGCCAACCCAATACTATGATTTTATTTGCTTTTTCTACTGTGTTAACGTTTTGACTCAAGGTATAAAAGTACTGGTGGGAAAAACCATTAGTGCCTTAGGACAACAGGGAATAGCGCCACGGGGTGGCGGTGGGGGGAAGAAAATTTTTTTTTTTTTTTTTTTTTTTAAATATGGGTTTGGCAGGGGCCTCTATTTCTGTTCGTCAATTTTGTATATGTGCTCCCGAAGCGAGCACGGAAGAAAAATTTTTAAGACTGCTTTTAAGACTGCTTAACTTGACCCCGGTTGGGTAGCCCAGTTGGTTAGAGTCATCCCGATACGTCAAGGCTGCAGGCTCAACCTGTGGCCAGGGCACATACAAGACTCAACTAATGAATGAATAAAGGAGTGGAACAACAAATTGATGTTTCTCTCTCTCTCCCCCCGCCTTCCCCTCTCTCTCTAAAATCAATACGTAAAAATAATTAAATAAATGAGCACCTACCTTAATATCCTGGGTAACTTTATTACTTCTATTAAATCTCAACCCTTGAGCACACATCTTTTTGATATTCTATGTGATAAAATGGGAAGAGCTAGGCACTTTTGCTGCAAGAGGTATGATGACTGTTCCCAGGAACAGCAGTTGTATGCTTCTTTGAGTTGCAAGCTAAATTAGGTACTTTTTTCATAGCACACTAATTTTACTAGAAAGAACATCTAACAGACAACTATGGTTACTCAGACTTGATATTTGGCAGACATTTTCTTTAAAGTCAAGGAAATGAGCATGTCATTTTAAGAGTATAAAGGGGTCCTGAGATCAAAAGATTTGAAAATAGCCGAGTTAAAGAAATTGCTGGACGACCCTTTTGGTTCAGTATGAGTTATGTATTACAATTAAAAGGAACTGAGACTGAAGTTCTTTTAAAATATCATTTTCATTAAGTATTACTATTTCTTTTCAATTTACAAAATGACTAAAATATTATTATATACTACTTTCTAAAACTCATACGTGACAGACTATGATCACTTACAGGTGTACTGACTCACAAGATTATTAGACTCTCACTTACCTTCATTTCAATAACAGTTTGCAGAGCTTTTGTCTTGGCAGAATCAGGAGCATTCTCAAATCTCCGATGCATCTCCTATACAAGAGAAGCCAAAAAAAAAGGTAAGTATCCTCTTTTTCACTCTCATTTAAAAAAAAAAAAATGGCTGGGGGGAGAGGGAATAATTGTGTACAAAAGATGATCACCCCAGCCCTATAAGAAACCCTGATCCCTCTGTGTCTCCCCGACCATTCTCTGTGACGCAGGTAACCCAGAGACTATATTCAGGCTAAGAAAGCATATGAAGGTCCCAATCTCTGAACACCTAGTTATTTAAAATTAGTCACACAGATCCCAGCTACTGCAACAGTTGAAACTACAGGACATCCCCAGGTTGGTGTGTCAATCTCCACATGACTCCAAAAGACACGAGGAATATAATCAGAACTCCAAATGATCCAAAATGAGAATTAGAAATATCCCATTTTTAAAAAGAGAAAAATAAGCAGTCACAATGTCTCTGCGTTGCACAAAGCTACCGCAAGCGTTCACATTAACAACACCCTTTCCATAGCTCCCACCCTCTGAGTAGCAACCCTCTAGCTACCTATGATGAAAATCTCTCTCCAGTGGGGCTACAAGTAGAAAGAAAAAGAAGCTAAGACTGTTAAATAAGTTTCCTAAGTAGTTCCTGTTTAGAAAATGTCAGAAAAACATGGCTATTTTTTAATTCAAATTTTAGTGAACTCAGGTTCCGGAAAAAAGGAAGTGATGGTAGTAATATCACAATTAGGGTCTCCAAGGACCACCTGAAGTTACCAGAACATCTCGGGCTATTTTCTTGTCCTATTTTGTGAATGTCTCTGAGTTAGTCAGCACTTCCAAAGTACCCTGGGACAGAAGCTAGTGACCCGAAAGAATACACAGGAGAATACTTTCCTACTGAGAGTGCTTAACCATAATAAAAAGAAATGTATATACTTTAATTATACCTTTCACCTAATTAATTCACTCTTGCCTGACGAGGAAGAATAGTTTGAAAGAACTAGAAAATAGAACTGCAAACTTCATTGAGTAACCTCTTCCTGAAAGAGTAGTCGTAATGAAATGACAGAAGTGCTAAACTATAAGCAGTCAACAGTTTAAACACCAATAATTTATGAACATCCACACTCCCCATCTGATTGCTGATACTATGGCACAAATCACTATTAATACATACCACCCTTTTGCTACCTCTCTTCCTAACTGAAGCCTTAAATACAGGGTCAAGCACAAATAATGTCCTTTTTTTATTGCAAAATCTTTTATTACAAAATCATAAGCATGTAATTCTATAATATAACAATATTACACTCAAGCACACTATATGACATTTTAGGTGAAATGTTCAAATTAAAACTGTAAGTTATTACACCCATATTATTACCCTACCAACCACACTCAAGCAGGCCTTTCTTCTGCCAGACCCTGTGAATCCCACTTGTGGGTGTTTAACAAACACCTCACTCTGCCTGCCCAAGACTAAGCACTGGTGGTGCCCCCCAAGCCTGCTCCATCCCAGTTATTCCGGTCAAAAACCAGTGAGTCTTCTAGATGCCTCTCTTTCTCTACCAAGCCACAGCCAGTCAGGAAATCCAGTTAACTTTATCTTCAAAGCATGTCCAAAATCCAAGCACTTCTTGACATCTTCAGCTGCTACTACCTGGAGGAGCCATGAACAAAAATATACCTTTTAATCCAACAACCTCCTTCTACTCAGTGTCCCCACTCTTTATCTTGCTTCCCTACAGTCTATTCTCAGAGCACTCAGAGTGCCCCTTTTAAATATAAATTTTATTTTGTCACTCCTTTGCTCGAAACCCTGTCACGCCTCACCATCTGACTCAAAGTAGAGCTACAGTCCTTCCAGTAGCCTACAAGACCCCACCTCTCACCACTCTTCCCTTAGTCACTGTGCTTCACATTAGACTCCTTGCTGTTCCTCAAACATGCTAGGTATTCTCCAGTTCCTTAGGGCCTTTACACCAGACGTTTTTGTTGCCCAGTCTCTTTTTTTCTCCTTCAAGTCTTGGCTCAAATACTTCTTCTATGTTATTAGGTTTATTAGTTGTGATAATCACATTGTGATTATGCAACAAAATGTTCAAATGTTTTAGAGATGCATACTAAAGGTTGTAGAGGTAAATTAGAACACGTCAGGAATTTGCTTTAAAATCTCTGGTGAAGAAAAGAAGAAAAAGAGAAAAGGGCTACATGAATCAAGTATAGCAAAATTTTGGTAACTGGCTTATCTGAGTGATAAGTATACTGAAATTCATTATATATTCTCACTACTGTTTTGAAACCTTCCATTAAAAAACTGATGTTTAGCCTTCTCAGTGTAACCTATCCTATTTTAAAACTTAAAACTGACAAAAGAACCCACATGTCCTTTCCCTTTTACCTTACTCTACTTTTTTCCCTTATAGTATGTATCCTCTATCATATTATGTAATTTGTTTACTTGTTATGTGTTCTGTTTATGTTCTACTTCCCTCTATAAGAATGTAAGTTCCATGAGGGCCAGTGTCTTTGTTTCATTCACTGATGAATCCAAAGAGCCTACAATAGTAGCTGGTACATTGGTAAGTGCTTAACAGATATTTGAAGAATGAATGTCCAATGTATGAATAATGAATGGCTACCAAATATTCAAGAATTAGGTAAAGAGAAAATCTTTTAACCCCTTCCTACTCCTGTGCTGTATTATATGCACTTCCTCTTTTTTCTCATACAGAATGCTACATAGCTGTCCTTTAACACTTACTACATTATATTTGAAATAATTTTCTTCTCTAACATACCAGACTGTGGACTTTTTTAAGGCAAAACTGTCTTTTGTGTTCCTCAGACACTGTATGATATGTAAGCAATCATTAAAAATTATTTCTCCTCTACATCCATTCTCTTTTGCTGAAGGAATGAATATATAAATAAATGAATAAATTATCAGCTGGTTTCCATCTTCACCATTCTACTGGACCACGTCCTTCACAATATCAAATAAAGGACTTCCTTGTTTCTAAACTTAATAGCTGCTGTCAGTCTACATCCTCTCTGAAATCCATCTATTAACTTTTTCTTAACCATATTGGGATTTAAGGGTGGGACATCTTTACAATTTTTGACTGGTTTCCAGTACAGAATTAACCTAGCTCTAAATGTATATTCTCTGCTCCTTCCCCTATCCTATCCACAGACACACATTTCCTTGGAACTCTTCTCAATCCTAGAGCCCCAATCCAGGGCCTCCACTAGCCCTCAGAGTAACAAAATGTGAATTAGAGAAAAGTACCAGCTCTGGGGTATATGTAACCTCACCATGAAGCATGGGTTAAGTTTCAAGCCCCACGTCTTCCATCAACAGGTAGCTCTTGTTCAGTGAACAACCTACACATGTAACCCTCCCAAGGTAGCCCTTCCCCAAATCCCACAGATCCAATTATAACCCTTCCAAGGATAACCTGCAAATCTATTTTCTAGCCCTGCCGTGGATGATCATCTATCACCCTCTTGTCATGTGATATTTGACCTCTAATCTTTGTTTGGGACTCCAAATTTTAAGACAGAGTCTACCTTCCACATACTTGTTTTCTCAACCTTTCTTGCAGTTAAAGCCCAAACACATAACCTGATCACCCTAATCAGACACATACATCACTTACTTTGAATCAGAATCTTATAACATGAAGAAGTAGCAACATGAATATCTAGAGACAATTCTGGCAATGAGTGGCAGAGGCAGCGGTTACCTCAAGCTTCCAGACTCAGGAATGACAGAAGTTCCAGTGGTTGTGAGCAGTGTCAATGACATCAACGGAACAAGCCACTGTGCCTGTGCCCTTTACCAATAGTAGCACTCTCCTCACCAAACCAATAAAAGAGCATGACTGAGGTGAGGCACTGTATTTAGCTATATAACTTCTGACCCCGTTCTACAGCCCACCTAGGGATTCTGGGACCTACATATTCATTCACTTATTCATATCAGGAACTGTGCAAAGTCTGGCAGATATAATAGTGAGAAATAACAAAGGTGGTCCCTATTATCATAAAATTTTTAGTCTACCATGGAAAAAATAAATTTTAATCAAATAATCACATAACAGTTCATTAGAGTCACCAATGACCTCCACATTGCTAAAAGCTATGATTCATCCTCTCTCTTCAGCTTACCTGATTTATGAGCAGCATGTGACATAGTTACTCAGTCCCTCTTCTTTATTATACTCTCTTCCCTTGGCTTCCAAGACATGACACTTTTTCCTCCTATTTTACTAATTTCTTTTCTACCTAACTCCTTATGAGTGCCCTAGGCATCAATCCTTAGTCGTCTTCTCCATCTTACTAATTCCCTTGGTGTTCTTACCCAGCTTCGTAACTTTCAACACTACCCACTTAATAATAACTCTCAAATTGTTCCTCCCGCTAAAATCCACACTTGTAATATACCATTGCCTCCTTAGCATCTTCATATATATATCTAATAGGTATCACACTGTTAATATGTCCAAAACTGAGCTAATTTTTCCTCTTTAAACTTACTTCATTTATCCCATCACAATTAATGGTACGTGCCCACCCAGTTGTTTAGGTCAAAAACTTAACAGTATCCTCTTTCTTACGCCTGCATCCAAGCCATCAGGAAATCGTGCTGTTCCTATTTTCAAAACATCTCCAGAAACTGACCACGTCTTATTATCTCACTGACATAATGATCTGAGTCACCATAATCTCTTGCCTGGATTATAGTAACAGTCTCCTGAAGTTGACTTCCCAGTGCACAATAGGACAGTTAGAGTGTTCTTTCTAAAACAGAAGTCAGGGCACACGCCTGGGTTGTGGGCAGGTCCCCAGCTGGAGGCATGCAAGAGGCAAATGATCAATGTATATTTTGCACATTGATGCCTCTCTTTCTCTCTTACTCCCTTTCTAAAAATAAAAAAATATTAAAAAATAAAAAATAAAATAAAGCAGAAGTCAAACATGCTTGACATTGTCAAAAGCTCCTCATTTCACTCAGCAAATGTCATAGTCCTTATGCTGGCCTAGCA